CCCGGCACCAGGGTAAGCCTGTCGGCCAGTGGCTCGGCCGTGCTGCGGGGCCCCCGACGCGAGTCCAGGGGGGTCCTGACAGCACAGCCTGGCACCCCGATCCGTTCTAGACCACGTGGTCGTCGAGATGTCCGTGAGGGTCAACGGGCGGAGCATCGTCAGGGCCAATTTCACCATCTACGACTGCAGCCGCATCGGACAGGTGTACCCCCACACGGCGTGAGTGAGCGGCCGAGCTGCAGGCATGGGAGGAGGAGCGGGACCCCCCGGGGTGGGCTTGGAAGAAAAACCCTCTACCCCAGAGGCAGATAGGCCCCAGTCCTTCATCCACACAGCACGCGCGCCCCACCTGGTGCCTGGCCTCTGTGCACACCCGGCCAGTGCCCTGACGACACGCACTGTCGTCTCCGTAAGGCCCGGCCACCTGTTTCCTGCTTGCACACCCCTGGCCGCGGGGAGCTCACCAGCTTACTCAGTGCCAGCCGCTCCCGGCAGCTCTGACGATGAAACACCAAGACCTTGCCGCGTGCTGGGATCTGCCTTCCGGCCCCGGGTGGTGGGGTCGGATTGAAGCGGGGTGGAGCCGAGGGCCTGAGGCCCCTTGTCTTCCAGCTGCACCAGCTGCCTGTCGGCGCAGTGGCCCTGTTTCTGGTGTACCCAGCAGCACACGTGCGTCTCCAACCAGTCGCAGTGCGAGGCCTCACCAAACCCCGCGGTAAGCCCGGCCCGGGGAGCCGCTGCCCCGCTGTTTCCTCGTGTTTCATGTTCCTGCTGGGCGCTGGGCTTCAGGGCCTGCAGGGCTCCTCACGTGCCACACGGGCTCACCCTGGCGTGGGCACACCCGCCACTCCCCCCTCTGCATTTCCTGTGCATCCACACTTAGTCCCTGAAGACTGGGTCTCAGAAATGCCATTCTAGGGACCAGCAGTTGGCATAATGGCTATGTCGCTGGACTCCCATGTACTCGACTATGGTTCGAGCCCCAGACCTGGTGGCTTAAACTCACGCCGGGTGCGTGTGCGTGCGTGCCCAAGATCCCGAGAGGAGAATGGAGGAGAAGGGATTGCGGCGTGGCCATCCCCCCCCCGGGGGGGGTGATTTCTCA